CGCTCCCTGCCTGAGGCTCCCTGTGCGCTCGGGGCTGTCCATCCGGGAGCCTACGAGGCAGGAAGCTAGCCAGCCGGAAGACCGGCGCTCCCCACCCGTGGCTCCCTATGCTCCAGAAGCCCTCCTGGGGGCCTACGAGGCCAGGAGTGAGCCGCCGGTCTGAAGACCAGCGCCCCCCACCCCTTTCATCTTTTCTTAAAAGATTCTTCTAAAGTTACTGTTTCGTATAGGTTCTTGGGATTAAACATGGCTCAGAGCTTGGTTGGATACCTGGATATCTAGTAGTAGTGCTAGCCAAAAATTCTTGATTTGGTCTAATTATGACTATGCTCTAACTATACCCATATAAATAGGCTGCTGAATGGTACCTTACCTTGTTATAGTTCACTAGGGACTGATCACCAAGTTTAGCCATTATTGAAAAGAATAAGACTAAGAACATCTTTTTCATTAAATTAGTTTTCAATATTTTATTTAGGACCGTTCCTACTAGACTTGTTTCTTTTCACGTGAGAAAGGCTTCCTGCAGTACATTGAATTTTTATCACTGAGCCTGGTTTATAGGATTCAACTTTCATTTTAAGGCAATGATTTCTACTCCTTGCACAAGTACATGCTTCTTATTTTTTTCTGCTGTTTATAGAATTGTTTACATCAATAAATTTCTAGGGCATGATGTCTTAGATGGAAAACCTAATCACTGCCTAATTTATTTTTCTGTTTTTGTTGTTGTATAATGTTCCATCAAACAATTGCTTTTTGTTGTGACAACTGAGTGTAAAGTTTGCATGATGTCGATATGCTTTTTGGACATATAAGAGACATGTTTTACATTTAAAAATTCTACATATCACATATTGGTATTTTTAGTGCAAATATATATTTTAATCACCTGAATTCTTAGTAAACTCATTTATTTTCCAAATGCAGTTGCACTGTACACTTAATACACTTTAATGTGCAGAAAGCTGTACATTGAAACTGAAATTGCTTTGTCTTCATGTTATTTAGAAATAAAGCCGGGCGTGGTGGCGTTCCTGTAGTCCCAGCACTCAGGAGGCTGAGGCAGGAAGATTGTCAGGAATTTGAGACCAGCCTGGGAACTGCTTAGGTATATCCTTAACTTGAAAAAAGACAAAAAAAAAAAAAAAAAAAGAAATAAAAATAATTTAGAAAGAAAATAATTTTATGGCAGAACTAGGCTGCCTTGAAAAACCAGGCTATCAGAGCAGGGCAGGCTAATTTCACCTGCTTTTCAGCGCTGTCATGTAGTTTTAAGGTAGTTAATATTACTATACCTGGAACATCCAGGCTATGGGGTATGAATTGCCACTGCCATTGGGAGGAACTCCTGGAGAGGGACACTTTTTGGGATGAGAGAGGAGCTTCCTTTCCCTGTGTGCCTTGTTAATGAAACAGTTGTCACTGTGCTAAAAGACATACCATTAGTCTTCGTATTAAAATACTGGCATGTAACTAAAGGTTGGCACTGACGTAGTGTACCGCCAGGGATCCCATTATGACCTCTGGGCTTTGGCGTTTCTTTATATGATGAATCACTGTTTATCATCTGACAGTGTGCAAGAGAGAAGTGGTGATGATATACGTACTTCTTTCATTCTGAACTTAAAAGTCGCAGATCATAAAATGCAGTTTTTAAAGTATTTTATTAATTTAACGATGGAAGTTATATTTAAACATATTAAGTGAAATAATTGTTGGGTTTGTTCCTTGTTCCTACCCATATAATTCAGAATAAGAGGCCTGTGCTTCATTCCTCATGCTATTCTGCTTAAACTTCCAAATTCCTTTGACAGCCTGGATGTGAAATTCAAAACCCATTAATGTGATGTGTTAATTTTGCACTTTTTGACTTACTGCAAAAATCTTATAGTTTCCATAGCAACAATAACCTATCCAGATTGTATAATATTCTTTACAGTATTAAAAATAAAACTATGCAATTACATGAGCTTCTGGAACATTTCATTTAGAGGGACTGGGAATTGAAAATTTTCTGTTAAAATCATGATTGCATGTGAAAAGTTTTATAATTTTATTTCAAGATTTATTAAATTTAAATAATTTAGTAATAGATTTCCAGTACCTAATTTCATTTATATATAGTGTAAGATGATGTAAGGATTGTGTCTGGTCATCTCAGGCGTGTGGACACTCACATACCTGTTCACACCTTAAAATGGAGAAAGTGGTTTGAAACTCGAAACTGAAATTGTTTTGTCTTTGTGTTATTTAGAAATAAAAATAACCACAATTAAGTTTACCATAAATTAAGCAACCATAAATTAAGTTAAAGAGGACATTGACTTTCATTATTCAGTCTGTGCTTCCCGTTGGCTTTTCTTTTTTTTTTTTTTTTTTTTTGAGATAGGAGCTCTGTAGTCTAGTCTGGCTTTGAACTTGCTATGTAGATCTGACTATCCTTGAACTTTCCCCCTGGCTGCCTCAGCCTCCTTAGTGGTGGTGGTATTACAGGTATATGCCACTGGGTCTGACTAACTGACAATATTGTATTGTAACTGAAGTTAGTTAAAATGACTTCCTGAATCTCCCCCCCCCCATTAGAGACTGAATGTAAGGAGCACTGAAGTATACTTCCAGCCTTTTTATTTTTTATCTTGAGGCATGTTTGTGCTAAATTGCCCAGGGTGGGCTCAAATTGCTCAAACCTGGAATCCTCTTGCCTCTACTTTCCAAGTAGCTGGGACTAAAGATGTGCGCCATCATGCCCAGTGACTTTCTGAATTTTAACAGATCTGTTTTTAGTTTTTGTATTATCTTTAATATATGCATATGGGTAGATATATTTATTTTTATATAATTTATGTAGTTTCTTAGTAATATGTGGTAAAATTTTTTCACGTTTCTAATGACATTCACAGTTATTTTAATAGTTGCATCATAGTTTATCCTTTTGCTGTACCTTGTTTACCACACTGCTACTTACCCGAGCCAGGCGTGGTGGTATATCCTAGCACTTGGGTGGTTGAGGCAGGCAGATGGCAAGGGTATGGATACTTGGCCTACATAGCAAGTTCAAGGCCAGTTTGGACTACAGAGTGAGACCATGATGCAAAACAAACAGCCAAACAACCAGCCAGCCAAACAAACAAAATGTTAGCCATGTACAGTGGTACACGCTTATAATCCCAGTACTCTGGGAGGCTGAGACAGGTGATCAGAAATTTAAACCTAACCAGGGCAACTTAGCAAGTTAGTGAGACCCTGTATCAAAAATTTTAGAAGTGGCTGGTTAGGGATGTAATTAGTGTAAAAGCCCAGTACCACCACCAGTACCACCAAGAAAAATAAAAAAAATTTAATTATTTACTGAGTGCCACGTATTGGAAGAAAAACAGATGTAAGTTTCAAACTGAGTATGGGAGAAAATAACCATAAATTGTTTATTTAACCAAAACAGGTGATTGTGAAAAACTTTCAAAAGGCATAGAAAATGATGTTTTAAAAGACCCACTATGAATAGCCTCTTATACTGCTTTATCTGCTAGATACAGAATGGGGAAAATGAGGTATAGCTAGGTAGGAGGGATGCAGCATATTTAGTAATGTAACAAAACCATCATGGCATGGTGATGGTTTGCTGAGGCTTTAGTACTGCACAGTTAATTATAAGGCAAAATTCAGAGGGCATGGATTTTGCCCCTGTTATCAGAAAAGCCCACAGTATGGTTCATAGTTACAACATCTAGCCAGGGGCCTTCATGTGGCTGGTTCTGTCAGTGCCCTAAGAATACTTACTGTGTTACACGAACTGCTCACTTACACTGTTGTACTACCAGTCTTCTCGTAAACACCCTGATACTATAGGAATTGTGTAATTTGCTACTATTTTTGCAAAACCCTACTTTAACTACTGGATTTCTGCAAGAGTTTCCTGAGAATGAGATGTTGGCAGCTAAGTTTTAAAGTATTAAAGGGTTTTAGTGGGAGTCTCGGAGCTTTTGAATATCTCCTATTCTAGGTGAGAATCAGTGTTTTCCAGTGGATTTTCCTTCCTGTGAATGCTTCTTGTACTGTGATAATACTTTAAGTGAATATAGGAATTTATATCTTTCAGTTGTTTCTGTAGTGAATATTTATAGCAGGATGCTTTCGTAGACTTCAGATAATTAAGACAGGATTGGAATTAATCTTGCAATATGCTTCAGTTTGTATTTATGTTTGTTTCCTCTTTGAAAGTAGTGCTGTGTTTAGTAACTTACTCTGTTCAACTTTGAATTTTGTGTTTTGACTCTGTCTTATGTTTTCATGGTGACATGAATTTCATTTGGTATTTCATATGTGTGTAACTGAACTATAATCAAAAATAATAAGCAGTGCATGGCATAGTGAGTGTCTCATATCACTGAGAATCATGCGTTCTCATAGTGTTTGTATTTGTAGTACTGCATCTGAAAGTAATATATGGAAAGGTAAATTGTTTTTCTGTTCATTTGCAGAAAAGATGAAAAGGAATATGCATTGAAGCAAATTGAAGGCACAGGAATATCCATGTCAGCTTGTAGAGAGATTGCAGTAAGTGGAATTAAATATTTATTTTGTTATCAATTTTGGGTGATGATTCATTTTTATGTGAGTTTCATTAATGTATACAGCACATGGTTATTTCACAGATGCTAATTAGTTTGAGGGTATTTTATTTAAGATGAGAAAAACTTCTTGTTTTTGTTACCTAAAAGTCATCTTCGATCTCCCTCTCTCTTTTCTCTCTGGCAGTATTGGGGACCCGACCCAGGTGCTCTGCCACTGAGTTACATCCCCATCCCTTTTAAAATTAATTTGGGGTAGACTGGGCTCATACTTACTAAGTTGATCAGGTTGGACTTGAACTTTCTTGCCTCAGCCTCCATGTACCATTACACTTGACTGAACTTTCTCATAATGATATTTAGGATTTATAATCTTAGAATTACTGAGCTAATTGAAATTACTGTGCAGTATGATTATTTTAGTTAATTTAATAAAATTCCTGTAATTTTAGGATTTATTCTTTATAGAGAAAGGGACCATATTATTAAATCTTATGCCTTTGACATTTTTCCTCAACTATATAATTTAGTGATAGATTTTACTAGTTGCTAGAAAAAATAAGACTATCATAAATAGGCTATCCCTTGATGAAATATAGTTCTTTTTTTCTCTTCATGTGCTTTACCCATGTAATTAAGAAATGACTGTCCTAAGAGTATCTACTGAAGCAGTAGATACTGAACATTTACTGAAGTTTTATCTAGGTACTAAGCTTATCAAGTGTTTTCAAGTATTAATTGTTTTAATTTTCATAGCAATCCTGTGAAATAAATACTTTTAATATCCTCGTTTTACAGATCAGAAAACAGGCAAGACCATAGTTATGGCTTAAAAGAGTTACTATTATATTATTTCATTTTAGTTTTTGATAAGTTTACTAATTAGGGCTTTATTAGACTTTCAACTAAATTGTGAAATATTTAAGTAATCATTAAATAGTTTTTTATATTGTCCATATCCATTAGGTATTTCTGCTCTAATTTTATAATTATTCCATGTAGTTTTATATTTTTGGTCTACTCACATGGAAACATCCGTTCATCACTTTTTTTTTTTCTTAACAGTATTGGAGATTGAATCCAGGGCCTTCTGTTGAAGCTATATCCTCAGCCCTTTTTCTATTTTTTACCTTTGAGACAGTCTTGATAAGTTGCTAAATTGCCCAGGCTGGACTCAAATTTTTGATCCTCCTGCCTCAGTTCCCCACAGTGCCGAGATTACAGGTGTGTACCACCATGCCTGACTCTGCTCTTCTTAGTTACGAGAAGAAGTGGTGCAGAAGTGGACTCAGGTGCCAGTCTGCCCAGTTGGCTATGTTAGTGATGAGTTTATGTCCTTATCTGTGACATAAAGGAGCTATAAGGTTCCTTCTAGTCATAAGTTCTTTAATTCCAGAATGGAACTTTTGACCTTGCTGTGCACACTTTAAAGAGTAGGACCTTGTCTTCTTTTTCTTACTTCATTTTGTTGTACAGTGCCTAGTATATAGAAAGTTTCCTGTAATTGTTTCTTGAGTAAATAAATGAACAAAATTTTAAAAATTGTACCAGTTGTCATGGTGATTCTAGGTTTGCTTTAGAATGTAAATTTATTATTGGGTAATTTTCATTTTGGTAGTTTTCCATTAATTACAAAGTGGTGTTTATAACACCCTACCAGAATAACATTTAATAAATGACTTGTAGCTCCTTAAAATTCTTACACATTATCATTTCAGCCAATGTAATTCTCACTGGTGTAAGTCTGTTTCATCCTATGGGGGATTGAACCAGGAACTTCACACTGAGCTTTATCCCAGGCCTTTTATTATTTTTCATTTTGAGACAGGAGCTTGGTAAGTTGTTAAGTTGCCAGGGCTTGGTTTGAAATGATCCTCTTGCCTCCACCTCCCACAGTGCTGGTATTACAGGCATGCAGTGCTGCGCCCAGCGTATTCTTTAATCTTTTTTTTTTTTTGGTTTTTCTCCGGTACCGGGAACGTATTCTTTAATCTTGGTGATAGAATATTCTCAACGATGTGTTTGGGTGTGGGTATATTAAATTCATTTTGCTCCTATTTTCTCCTGTATGTTTTTTCATCCTCTCCACTGTCATCACCCTAATCACCCCATCTTGCAGCTCTTCTGAGGGCTCTTGCCAGGTACATGTCGGACCTCTTCAGTTGAGTTTTACTGCCTCTTAGTTTTTTCTTTCCTCTGAGGAGCTAACATTTGCACTGGGGACCTCAGCATTTCCCTTCTCTCAGAGAACGTGCTCCAGTTGTTGGCTTGATACGGAATGTCTGATGGTATTTGCTCTGAGAGCTGTGCCTGTAGAGGGTCTGGAGAGCATAAGGGAAGGTGGCTGTGGTTTTTAGTGGGTTTTGTTGTGATTGTTGTTTTGAGACAGGGTCTCACGATGTAATTCAGGTGACCTTGAACTCACTGTGTAGTCCAGACTGGTCTCAAAATCACAGTGATCTTCCTGCTTCAGCTTTCCAAGTGCTGGGATTACAGGTTTGCACCACCATGCCTGGCTTCCGCTGTCAGTCTCGAGAATCCCTTGTACATGAGTTTTTCTTTTTGGTGATTTCAAAGATTGTCTTTTGGTCTTTGTCTTTGAAAGTTTGAGTATGACACGTCTACATGTAAATCTGAGTTTTCCCTTGTGGCATTTCTTGAGCTTTGAGGATGTATAGATTAATGTTCTCCATCAAATTTGGGGAACTTCCCTTCCTTTCTTCACTTCTTTTCTCTTCCCTTGTCTTCTCCTTCCTTCTTTCCTTGTTTCTTCTTCCTCTCTCTCTGTCTCTGACAGTTCTAGGGGCTGAATCTTGGGCCTTCATACTGAACTACATCCTCAGGCCTTTTTATTTATTTATAAATTTTGAGACAGAATCTTGCTAAGTTGTAAAATTGGTCAGACTGGGCTCATACTTACAGTTCTCCTCCCTGAGCCTCCCAGAGCTTTGGAGACGATTACAGGCACGAGCCATTATTAGGTCAGCTATAAAGGCTCTATTTGTGCCTATTCTGACTGTCTGGAGGCTGGGAAGTCTAACAGGAAGGGACTGATAGATCCGTGTCTGATAAAGGCTTGCTTCCTGGTTCATAGATGATGGCTGTCTTCCTTTTTATCTTCATACGCTGGAAAGGACAAGGAATTTCTGTGGACTGTCTTCTGTAAGGGACTGATCTCATTCGTGAAACTCTTGGCTTGATAATCTCCCAGGGGTCTCACCTCCTAATATCACTCTAGGTGTTCAGATTTTAAAATATGAATTGAAATGGGGGAGAGGAATATAAACGGTGAGTTTATTGCTGGAGGGAAGAGAAATAGAGAAAATCTCCCTTCCTGTCGGAATGCCACCTCCCTCAGCCCGGGCTTGCTTGCTGAGACGCCCTCGTTCCTCCTTGACCTCTGCCCAGTTGTTTCCCAGTGCGCATTTCCACCAGCTCCCAGGGCTGGTGCTCCATGGTGTGCTGTGGTCTGCTATCATGGATGGTCACCTGCGGCTTCCCGCTTTCCTGTGTTCCACTGTGCTGCTGCAGCAGGCTGCTGTGTAAACTTTAGTGAAATGCTTTGAAATTTCTTCTTAAAAGGAATAAACTTTTTAAAAAATGTGTGAAATGAAATTAGTGGGGTTTTTTCCTCCCCAGAACGAGGAATTAAACCTGGGATTTCATGCATGTTAGGCAAGCACTTTACCTCTGAGGCTACATTCCCAGCATGAAATGAAGTTGATAGATTGTATTTGCTGAGGATTTAAAGATTTTAAAATATCTATGAATGAGCCTCTAATTTTCCTTTATTTCTGTCAACCTCAGAACGTAAATCTCGATATTAAAAATAGGTAAGTATCCATTGAGTTTCATTAAGATCATTTCATTGTATCATTTTAATTGTTTTTATGTCTTTCTTTGGGAACAAATTTGTCCTAAATGTATGGAACTTTATGAAGCTATAGATACGTATAAATAGATGTGTGATTTAAGTATTTTACCCTTTCAATAAAAGGATAAAAGGAAAGTATAATGTTAAGATTTCTGTTAAAGAACTAGTAGAAAGGATGAGCCGGGTGTGGTGGCACACACTTGTTTCTGATAGCTCTCAATAATACCACAAAATGAGGATCTCATCAATGGGTTAATCTAGTACCTGAAGTTAACCTCTTTGTAAAACAGACCATACTCCCGGTCTCCTCTGTAATAAATGCAATCTTGGTAGAGTTCGGCATATGGAGTTTTTAACTTTGTAAGGTTCTGGGAACTCATGAAAGGTCAGGAACAACATTGGGAGGCACCACATGGTAGAACTTTTCATTTCTAAAAAGCCAAAAGGGTGTAAGGAGCCAGTTAGCAAATGGAATTTCCAGTTCTTTGTTATTTGTGCTTAACTATATACGTTAGGTCATGAGTCTTGAGAGTTCAGTGTGTGTGTTTGTGAGTCTGTGTGGTGCTGAGGGAAGGTAGTCATACATAGCTGAAAACTTTCTCGCTTCCCCTACTCTACGGGATAGACTACTTGGCTCTTACTAGCATCTTTGAGCCCCTGTGTGTGGTTGCCATAACTCCATCCCTTTTGTGAAGAACTGGTGAGTTATTATTGAAGACTTAGTTTTCTGCTGTGTTAGTATCTGTCCTTATTAGAGAGATCAGTGGTTTTTAGTTCTAAAAATATAAAAATTACCAGTGTCATATTCTTGTCTAAGCAGTTAAAGTTAATTGGCTATTAGACTTTGAGTTTCAGTGTTATTTTTCTCTTGAGTAATAGTGAAGCAAAATTGTGCTGGTGATATAAATGCAGAGTAAAGAACTAAAAGTAATTCTGATGCTGGTATATGAAGGGCTTAGCTCAGCGCCTTAACATAAATGTGCAGTAAATTGTTGTTGTTAGTGACTTTTTTGTCACTGGTACAAAATAGCTGATGCCTGCAAATTAAAGGAGGAGAGGGTTAGTTTGGCTCAGCCTCAGAGGTCTCAGTTCTTGTAGTTGGCTGACTTGAA